ACGAATTGTTACAAAACTCATTTTGGTGAACTATAGACAATACTTGCATGCGGTTGCATATTCTGATTGTAAGCGACAGCTAGTGGTGGAAACGGGTACTGCAGTCTGATTCAAAATATATAGGAATAACACAGACTTTATAACTTGAGCCAGTATTCAGTCGTCTGTGTGTGTGTGTGTGTGTGTGTGTGTGTGTCAGGTTTCTGGGTGAACGTGTCTCTGATTCCTGTGATGTTGGGTCTGGCGCTCTGCACTGCCACTGAGATCAGCTTCAACATGCTGGGATTCTCCGCCGCGCTCTCCACCAACATCATGGACTGGTGCTGCTCACACACACACACACACACACACACACACACACACACACACACACACACGGTCACAGTAACACTGAAACTCTTAAGAGTAACACTCTTCCTCTCTCAGCTTACAGAATGTGTTTTCCAAGAAGCTGCTGAGTGGGGACAAGTATAAGTTCAGGTGAGTGCTGTTGTGTGTGTTAAGTGTTGTACGGTAGGGGGCGCTATCACGCTGTGTGTGTTTCTAGTCCTCCAGAGCTGCAGTTTTACACCAGTGCCGCCGCTATGGTCATGCTCGTGCCCGCCTGGATCTTCCTGATGGTCAGTCGCTGCAAACACACGTCCGAGACCCGCTTTCATTAAACGCTGACCGCATCACACACATGCTTAGCACACACACACACACCCAACAATACACAACTATCCCTTTCATAGCAGGAGAATGGCAATCTTGTCAAATGTAAAGAAAATTTTTACAGAGTAAATAATTTGATTATGAATAATTAAATAAATTGATTAAGTTAAATGTATAACATTCTATTTCAATAAAAATGCATAATACTTTTGCTTGAAATAAATTAATAAACACAATTCGATTTAAATGGAAAATACATAACCACATAAAAACAAATAAATGATTTAAATAAAACACATTAAATGTATATATATATATATAAAAAAAAAACATTTAATGCAACAAAATAGTCTACATAAAATAAACAAATTAACTAAATAAACACATTTTTTTTAAATAAAATAAAAGCAGTGTAAAAATAAGTAAAATTAAACTAGGGAACTAATTAAGGAAATAAATAGAGAAATTTGATTTTAATTATAACACATGATTGAAAATAATTAAAGTCAATTAATAAACTCACATCTAGTCCGGGGGGGGACACACACAATGATGTATTAATTCTAACTTACATTTGTCATAGTAAATATACATGAGAATCTGTAGTGTTAGTGGTGCATGTGAAGGCGGATATTATTGAAATCATTTGATTAAAGTAAATATATTAATAAACTTACATCTAACAAAAGAGAGGGGAGATGAAAAAACACCCAAAGATTTAATATTTCAAGTATAATTTTTTTTCACAGTAATACTCGTGACTTTATGTGTGCTGGTGTGTGTGTCCCACAGGATCTGCCGGCGATCGGGAAGAGCGAGCACAGCTTCAGTCTCTCTCAGGACGTGGTTCTGCTTCTGCTGTTCGACGGCGTCCTCTTCCACCTGCAGAGCGTCACGGCCTACGCGCTCATGGGCCGCATCTCACCCGTAACATTCAGGTGCGCCTCCTGCACACAATCTTTTTTGAGTCTCAAAAAAACATTCAATATTATTATCAATTTTGAAATGTGTGTGTGTGTTTAGTGTGGCGAGCACCGTGAAGCACGCGCTGTCCATCTGGCTGAGCATCATCGTGTTCAATAACTCCATCACTCTGGTGTCCGCTGGCGGGACGGTGCTGGTGTTCGTGGGAGTCCTGCTGTATAACAAGGCCAAGCAGATGCAGAGAGACACGCTGGTCCGTCACGCTCTCAACCAATCAGCGGAGGCCGAGCTCAAGCACATGACTCACGACGACGTCACGTCTGCCAAATGAATCCTGCGTTCCTTTAAATGGATAATTCACCCAAAAATGAAAATTACCCCATTACTCACCCTGAAGTCAGCCTAGGTGTAAGTGACATTATTCTTTCAGACGAAAACAATCGGAGTTATATTAAAAAATGTCCTGGCTCTTCCAAGCTTTATAATGGAACTGGATTACCGTTTCTGTTTTGAAGTCCATAAAAATGCATTTATCCATGATAAAGTGCATGTATCCATCATAAAAGTGCATCTGTCCATCATAAAAGTGCATCTGTCCATCATAACAGTGCTTCAGCTCCAGGGGTTTCTAAAGGCCACATCATGGATGCACTTTAATGGACTTCAAAACATAAACGGCCATTATAAAACTTGTAAAAGCCAGGGTATTTTTGAATATATCTATGATTGTATTTGTGTGGATGAAGAATGTCATACTAGGAAGACTTCAGGGTGAGTAAATCATGGGGTAATTTTAATTTTTGGGCAAACTATCCCTTTAAACACAATGAAAGCTGGCTGTGGGTCCAAAGCGCAGGAATCAATAATCAAAGCTTCAGTTTTCACAGGGATCATGCCTCACTGTATATATCTGTGGTTTTGGGACACAATAATTCAGCTTTTTGGTGGTTAATTGACAACCAAAAGACTTAGAGAAACGCTGCGATATCGTTTGGTGTTTCTACATGTGAGTGAGTGACCCTCACCAGCAAATATCCAGCTCGTATTTTACCTTAAAATCGAAAAATAAGGCACTATATTTTGCATTAAGATGATAAAGCCTGTTTTTAAGACCACTTAATTTTATTCCTACTGATTTATTGTCAAGAAAATAATGTCAAAAATCCCTGAAATTAGGCTTTCCGCATAAAGATTTAAGGTGAAATATGACGGACGTTTCTCCAAGAGTATTTTGTAAAGGCACTATTTCTTATAAAGTTAATTTACTGGTCTCTCATTCCACAAAACACAAGCAGGTTTTGTATATAGTAAATGCAATGATTGTAGCGGACCACAATCTTCGTCCAGCCCATGTTTGATCTCGTTTAATCGCCTGTTTTCTTACACGAAACTGACAGAATTATTTTCCTTCTTGTCTCTTATTTTGTCTCTGGCCCGTCAGAGATTCACTTCTTTGAGCAGTTTTAAGATTGTGTCCATGATATCAAATGACTTGAAGTTTCCCTGTGTTTTCTGCCTTACGGATGAGATGGTTTATTCCATGTGTTCTCTCTGTTTAATCTCTGTGAAGCAGAGGATTTGTCAAATACTTGATGAAATGGCAAGGGTATGTATGTCTAAACTGTGGTGGCTTGATATAAAATTATGTACTGTATGTTTTTGATAATGTACAATAACCACTAATTGGATTTGTCTGTATAATTTGATCTTTATTTGTGCATTGATAACATTTTGAATTTCTTTATTAAATGTATACAGTGCAACTTGTGCATTTTTTGCAGCTAAAAGACCAAGCTAAACCCGAGCTAAGTTTAAATTAGTTAAATACATACATGATTGCTGAACTGTTCTTGGTAACAAAGTGGGCTAATTTGATGTATTTTCTATTATATTATTATTATTGTTCTCGGGTTTATTTCACACAAGGCCTTATGATACATTTGCCTATTTTAACAGTAGGCCAATAACATTTTGATCGACGACATCTTGAGATGATCATACATTAATTATGTCGTATTATTTGACATAGTTTGAGAAACAAGAAACACAAAGGAGTAACTGAATTAATAATCGTTAAAAATAATTAAAAAAAAAAGATCAACATTTTGTCTGAGGCGCGAATTGCATGGTCACGTGGTACATGTCATTTCTCAGCGCTGGTGACGAGCGACCAATCGCATTATTCTGTTATGAAATATGCAAAATATAATGTAAATTATTAGATAACACAGGTAAAAAAAATGTTTTAATGACATGTAAAGCTGGTTTTATAATAAGAACAACAAAACCAATTCATAAAATCATTAAATCGTGTTTAAAGTGTGTTTTTATTGCATGCGTCATACATATTGTGCGATCCACTAAAGCGCCGGCAGGTGGCGGTGTGATGTCATGGAGATTTGCGCCAGTTTGCTCTTTGTTTGCGCTGCGCACCATAGATATATAGAGACTAGATACCCTATTGGCCGCTGGAAAACGAGAAATTCGGCCGCCATCTTGAACCGGTCGTATTCCTAGTTTCGTTGCGTGGCAGCAGATTAGATGCCAGAGCACTGTGGAGCATTTTCCTGTTCTAACCGCCGGACCACCGAAAATAGGGCTTTTTCACAAGTAAGTCTTAACATTACCGTACTATTGGTTGTATTTTGTGAATAGAATTATACCAGATAATCGAGAAGGAGCAAGGATATTTGCAATTACTGTACTGAAATCGTTGTGAAATGCTGTTTACTGCATCAGCCGGTGTTCACCCGGCATGGAGAGGTGGGGTAACTGTTAAAGTAATAATTACAAAAGCTTCTAGGTTGTCAGATAAGCATTCAACTGCCCTGTCAATTTTTATTACAGGTGGCTGCGTTCTGTGTGTGTGTGTGTGTGTGAGAGAGAGAGAGAGAGAGAGAGAGAGAGAGAGAGAGAGAGAGAGAGAGAGAGAGAGAGAGAGAGAGAGAGAGTCTGTTCGTGTGTATGTATGTGCGTGTGTCAATCATAAACTGTTTCTTCAACTTATTAAAATATCTTACTTTACTGCTACTATGATCTGTTTCTGCTTCTTTATTATATTTATAGTGTGTGAATTATAAAATACATTATATCCTTCATCACATATATTGTGTCTGGTCACTTTATATCTTATATCAGAATATTATATTACTGTTAACCTACAATGGACATTAAAATACTCCGAACCATGTGTCCTGTATCATAGCTACATGAATGACCTTTGCAGCAAAAAAAAAAAACGCGTGAAAATCAGTTCAGTATTCAGTGAAATATGATTAATTTAATGCGCTGACAGCTCATTTCACCTGCCATTCAGATCACACTGAGCGGAGCGGATGACCGGTTTAAGATGGCGGCTCCAATTCTCGTCCGTGCCAATAGGCAGTAGCGGTCGATAGGGCGTCTACCTATATGATATCTATGCTGCGCACCGCATCGACCTGGAAGTAATTGGCCGGAAGTAGGAGGAAGTGAATCGTTTTTCCGGTGTTGTGAAAACGCGCCGAATAAATCACAGGTGGGTAAGGAAATATTGAAAATCTTCTACAGTGTTAATATCAGCTTATTAGCGCGTTATTGTTTTAAAGTATAAGTGCGCGTGCTGTTTCTCTTGTTGTGAGAGTGCATGAGAGCTCTCGGATGCGCGCGTGAAGTTCATGTGAATCTGACGCTCGGCTTAACGTTAAACATAAACACACTAATAATTCTGTATTCCGTGATTTTTTTTATTAGTTCTGCAGGAACATTCTTTACAGACAGTGCGGTGGAGTCGAATCATTTCATATTGTGTTTATTATCACCACATGGTAACGTTACGTTTCCAAAACATAGTTTTACACATTTGTTGAACTTCGTAACATGTAAATCCTCCCAGAACTGTTTTCTGATACTCAATGACAGAAAATAAAGCGAAATAACAAGACCGAGTGAACTCACGTGACGCGGTCTAGCCATTTTATAAGATTGTGGCATCAACTTTATCAAGCTTTACTGAATGTGTGTGTGTGTGTGTGAGAGAGAGAAAGAGAGAGAGAGAAAAAACGAGTGTTCGTGTGAGAGAGAGAACGAGTGTGTGTTTGTTTGTATGTGCGTGTATGAGAGAAAACGAGTGTGTGTGAAAGAGAGAACGAGTGTGTGTTTGTATGTGTGTGTGAGAGAGAGAACGAGAGTGTGTCACGTGTGTGGGAGCAAGAGAGAGAGTGTTTGTTTGTCTGAGTGTGTGTGTGTGTGTCTGTGAATCCACCTTCTCTCCTCTGGTGTTGCAGTGGAGGTGATTTGGAGCTGATGGGGGACGAAAAGGAAACCTGGAAAGTTAAAACGTTAGACGAGATCCTCCAAGAGAAGAAGCGCAGACGAGAGCTGGAAGAGAAGAGCGACCCTAAACGAGTAAAGAACGTAAGAGAGTCAGTTCATCATCATACGCTTCGATCTGACTCATGAGTGCTGATCATAATCGGGGGGTTTTCAAACCGGCTCAGGGGAGCTGTTTAGAGGAGGGGTCAGAGGTCAGGGGAGCTGTTTAGAGGAGGGGTCAGAGGTCAGGGAAGACGGTTAGAGGAGGGGTCAGAGGTCAGGGGAGACGATTAGAGGAGGGGTCAGTGGAGATTATTAGGGAAGGGGTCAGGGGCGACGATTAGAGAAGAGGTCAGGGGTCGGGAGACGATTAGAGAAAGGGTCAGAGGTCAGGGGAGACAATTAGAGAAGGGGTCAGAGGTCAGGGGAGTCAATTAGAGGAGTTGTCAGAAGTCAGGGGAGACGATTAGAGAAGAGGTCAGAGGTCAGGGGAGTCAATTAGAGCAGTTGTCAGAAGTCAGGGGAGACGATTAGAGAAGAGGTCAGATGTCAGGGGAGACGATTAGATGAGGGGTCAGAGGTCAGGGGGGATTATTATGGAAGAGGTCAGGGGCGATGATTAGAGAAGGGGTCAGATGTCAGGGGAGACGATTAGAGGAGGGGTCAGAGGTCAGGAGAGACGATTAGAGGAGGGGTCAGAGGAGACGATTAGAGGAAGGGTCAGAGGTCAGGGGAGACGATTAGAGAAGAGGTCAGGGGAGACGATTAGAGGAAGGGTCAGAGGTCAGGGGAGACGATTAGAGGAGGGGTCAGAGGTCAGGAGTTGCGTGAGGAGGAGCATATCTGGGGCCTGAAGGTTTGGAAATCCTTGTAATAATTCATATGCAGGTAGCATGATGTGTTTTAATCAGGGCTCCACATCAGGCCTTTTCTTGTGCTGGGCCTAAACAAATTGTGCCCTTGAGGTAAGATAAAACATATCAAAAATTAATTTCAAAGTGAACTATCCCTTTAATGTGGAGCCCTGCTTTAATCATCACGAAATATGAATTGACTGATGATTATGAGCATGCAAGTTTATTGTAAAATATTTAGTGTCTCTGTACATTTGCTGCCATTTCCAGTCGGATGTGTTTTGTGTGACAGACGGATGATCGGGAATCCAAACGGGACACTCCTGAGGAAGGAGAGCTACGAGACCACAAGATGGAAATAACAATCCGGAACTCACCCTACATGCGGGAGGACTCCACTGAAGACAGGTCTCGCCTCACCCCAACTATTGTGTGTGCTCAGATTGACCCGGAAAGCCTCAGTAGAAAAACCTAAAAATGCTCAAAATTCAAACTAAAAATCCTAAAACTTTACCATAAAAAGATTGTAGAATGTGTACATGTGTATCTGAAAGCACACGGCAGAGAGACTGTCTTTAGGACCCAGCGGAACAGCTCATATAGAGATATATTAGCCCATCTAGAGTCATGAAATATCATGTGTTATTATTTCCCACTAGAGGTCGGCAGAGACACAATGTAAGATATTTAGAGCTGAATTAAAAGGGTTATTTATGCACTAAATTGTGAGTTATTTTGAATTTAAGTTGAAAGGATGTGGGGAATCTGCTTACATTACTGTTTATTGATCAAATCGGGTCATTTAGAGGTAAATAAAAAAATACCCTCAAAAATGCATCAAAATGAAATAAAACAAGCTTTCTGGACAGAAATAAGTATAATTGTTGTGGCTTCGGGTCATTTTGACCCACGATGGAAAGATGTGTTACAAAGTGTGAGGGAATAACGTGGACTCGTGTTGTGTGTGTGTGTTTCTGCAGAGGAGAGGAGGACGAGTCTCTGGCCATCAAACCCCCACAGCAGATCGCCAGGAAAGACAAGTCCTACCACAGAAAAGAGGAGAAGAGGAAGGACAAGCGGCGGCACAGGAGCCAGTCGGACGAAGACGGTCAGTGTTTAATGCAGGGCTCAACATTTAAATAATGCATATGCAGAATAAAGGGGCGGGGCCTGTCACTAAACTCCTCATTTAAATAATTCATATGCAGAATTAAGGGGCGGGACCTGTTACTAAATTTCTCATTTAAATTATTAATTTGCAGAATAAAGGGGTGGGGCCTGTCACTCAATTCCTCATTTATATCCACAAGTTTCCTACGCCCCATGAGGCCTTGCGTCAAAAGTGGGCGCGACTTCCGGTTGGAAGTAAACAAAGCACAATTTGACATGCTTGACACTCGTTCATTCAACAGTTGACAGTCATTCAAGTTATAGCGATCCAAACTAGCTAACGATGTGGGAACACAATCTCAACGAAATTAAAAAAGGTGAAATAACAGTACCTTTACCCTCCGCAGTCGTTGATTGGGACTATTATAATAACATTATTAATAATCAATACTCATCAAGGCATGGTGACAGACAGTTGTGCGAGCTGACAAACAATTAAAATAAAAAATACACACTTAGTCATTGTGCTCTGGAGTTTATTCAAAATTATAAATGAATGTGCTGCTTGAATACATTAACTGGCACATTTGGTATTCTGTCAACACAGGCTTTGATCCTGAGTTTAGGTGTAACATCAGTAGAGAACAGCCAAACACATGCTGATAGAGTTTATAGAACATTAAGAATTTAAACAAATGTACACAGGATGATTCGTCGTCTTTTGGGAGGTGATGGAAACTACAGTCTGGCAGGATCAGAGACGGGCTCTGGCAGGATCACTGTGATTTCGTTTTCAGCTTATGTTCAAAACAATCACGTTTAAGCCACTGAATTAGTTTAGTCCGGTTATACATACAACCGCGAACAGCACATGTTGTCCCTGAGCTCCGTAACGACATCTCTTATAAAGATTTGCGTCTTTAAATAGTAAAATAATTCTCCGAAAAACAGCTAGCCTCTTCGCTAACTAACACACAAAATACCATTGGAATGCTACTTCCGCCGCCTCACCGGAAGTTTCACCCACTTTATTTTTTACAGGAGCGCCCCTCGGAAACTTGTGGATTATTCATTTGCAAAATAAAGGGGCGGGTCTTGTCACTAAATTCCTCATTTTATAATTAATATGCCGATTGAGGGGCGGGGCCTGGTTGAGCAGAACAAAACTGTGAATTGACCATTTGCAAAAGCCACGCCCCCTAGTTATGGTTACTACGCCCGTCAAACACGACCAGCGCGACGGATCGCCATGACGGGAAGAGGTGTACCCGTGTGTGTCATGACCTTTTTTGGAGCAACACCTCAGCGATATCCTCCAGATCGAGGCACAAGGGGTTCGGGTACATATTCAAAATATAAAAATACGCAGTGGAGCGAATGCTAACCGGTCTCAGCGAGATCTGAGTAACCCCATGACCTGCACCTCAGATGAACCAGCACAGCCTTGAAGAAGAGTGTATCAGCTGCTTCAGTGGTTAATTGTTTGGAGTTAGAAATATATAACTATTGCCTCAGATACAGGATTATACATTCGCTTTAACGAGCGGGATGTTCATTACCACAGCAACCGCTAGCGTGTCATACATGTTCATGCATTGTGTGTACAGACACTTCATATAAAGTGTGACCTGTTCTGTCTGGTTTATTGTCTTCACAGCAGGGAAACACATTCGCACAAAAGACAAAGAGAAGGAGCGCGAGAACGAGAGGAGGAAGAGACAGTGGCAGGACGAAAACAAAACCAGGCGAGATTATGAGCGTCAGAAACGAAGAGATCAAGCCAGAGCTCACTCCCGCAGAGAGAGGTCCAACACACACTCACAAACACACACACACACACACACACACACAGGGTTCCCGCGGGTCCTTAAAAAGTCTTAAATTAGATATTTACAATTTAAGGCCATTAAAAGTCTTATAAAGTCTTATTTTTACGTATAAAATGTCTTAAATTTTAGATGACACTTTGACTTAGTCGTATCTTAATGTTTTCCAAATTAAAACTATCTAATTTGCGTACGTATTCATTTTTATCTATCTTTGTGGATTTGCTTGTTCACGTGACAATTCGCGTCACATTCGCGGTAGAATAACATCCGTCTCCTGCACGCGAGACAGGAGAGGAGGAGAGAAGAAAGTTGGCAAATGTCAGTTAAGTCGTAAGCTAATTCTTTATGTGCGTAGAGGTGTGCGATGTGTATTGTCTATTATGATATTCTATTGTTTTAACAATGGACGAGGCACTGTGAGTGTGAGCTGACATCGCATTTGTCTCTCGTGTTTTCACGGCGTGATGTGTGCAGTTATAGGCATGTATTTATTATGTCTATGGTTATAGGTATGCCCCCAAATTAGTTTTTGCCTTATATTTATATTTATGTTATACAATAGTTAAATTAAAAATAAATTGACATTGTGAGTTAGTTTTTAGACATAACATTATCGATATTGTTTGTTTTCCCTTTATTTTCGCCGACTAGAATTTCAAAATGAAACCGTAGCAGAGTCTCAATGCAACAGACAGCGATGATCTCGTGAATGAAATCCGCGTTTTGAACGAGTCATTTTAACGATTCAATCACTTGCTTCTTTCCCGTTTGAACAAATCGTTTGAATGAATGACTCCCTCAACTCGCTTATTAAGACAGCGATTTACCGCCGCCTACTGGCATTTTTAGTTTCATATTAAAATTAAAACTTTAAAATTAGAGATCATTTCACATTTAAATATTGAATATTGATTTTTAAAAAAAAACCTTATAGCTTGATTTATGCAATTGTAAATGGAGTCTATATATTAATGCCACTTCTAATGCTGCTTCTGCATCACCTCTGCACTGCAAAGCTGGATTTTTGATTGAATGATTTAATTTGACTGCTAACAGTGGTACTGTATAATTATTGTGTAATTAAATATTATTGTATAAATAAGTATAATTACTGTATATACGTGGTGCTCTATATATATATATGCTCTATATAACTCTAAATAAGTTTTAAAAAAAAATCTCCATAAATAGGTGAAAATGCCCTTGGAAATCAATTTAAGGTGGCAAATATTGCACATTAATTAATAATTTCTGTCACTGCTGTGAACTGAGTCTGACCACTGCATAGAATATGAAAAATATAAATATCTCCGCGAGTCTGCTGTCAACAACAGGCCTAAACCAGCCATGGCACCAGCACAAAAACATAATAATTGTTGATAACAATTAGTTGATATTTTACTGATTGTGTTTTTATTTTGTGTTTATCAACAAAACGTTGAAAATATCGAGATATATTTTTGTCAATATCGCACACCCCTAATGTATGGTATTAATTTTGATTTCTTCAGGTCTTAAAAAGCCTTCAATTTTACTTTAAAAAGTGTGCAGGAACCCTGCACACACACACACACACACTCACTCCTGCATAGAGAGGTCCAACACACACTCACACACACACACACACACTCCCGCATAGAGAGGTCCAACACACACACACACACACACACACACACACACACTCCCGCAGAGAGAGGTCCAACACACACACTCTCTCTCTCTCTCTCACACACACACACACACACAGTTGTTATAAGGTCAGAAAGCACGGTTACCTGATTTATGATTGACAGTGATGCGATGCAGTCTGAGTCTCTGGTTCAGAAGTGTGTGTGTGTGTGTCTCCCGGCTGTTGAGTGGGTCGCAGCTGGACCTGACTTCAGTGTGTGTGTGTGTGTGTGTGAACCAGCAGGGATCGTCTGGAGCAGCTGGAGCGTCAGCGGGAGCGGGACCGTAAGGTGCGGGAGCAGCAGCAGAAGGAGCAGCGCGAGCTGAAGGAGCGCGAGCGCAGAGCGGAGGAGCGCCGCAAGGAGCGTGACGCGCGCAGAGATGGTACACACACACCGCTCATATCTCACTGCTCTGATCCAGTCTGACCTCTGACCTGTAATGCTCCCGGATAGGGTTGGGTATCGTTTGAATTTAAAAGATTCTGATTCCGATTCCGATTCCTTGTTTCGATTCCGGTTCCTAACGATTCTCGATTCCGATTCTTTTAAGAGGCAGGGTCAAAAAAGTTTAGCTAACCTTGCTAACCAACGGCCTTTCTGAAGGAAATACTCCTTTAGTCACAAATACTTGTCACAAATTTTGCATTTTGCCGAGATTTCGTTAATTTTTAGAAAAGTGAAGCCACACTTTGGATCGCCGACGTAAGCTACTCATGTTCGACTCGCGCGGTTATGCCAACACTTCCGGTAGACGCTTCTTCGTTGGTGTTGTTCAGCGGTTTCTTCTTCCGCTCGGCGGACTGTGAATATCGAAACTAGGAATCGAAATTTTAACTTTTGAACGATTCCGGGAAAAACGAAAAGTTAGTCCCGGTTCCAATCGATACTCGATACCCAACCCTACTCCCGGATCACAGTCACACTGAGCGTTCGTTGGGCAGAGCCAAACACGAGCCGTTTCCCTCAGACGTTCGTCTTGACTTTAACCACGATAACAGGATGTTCTCCAGCCTGTCGTCGGCTCCTCATGACCTCTGATGTCACTTCCTCACATCAGAGCAGAGTGTGTGCAGGAGGACCCGTTCAGTGTTGGGCAAGTTACTTTTCAAAAGTAATTAGTTACAGTTACTTCTTCCAAAAAGTAACTAAATTAGTAACTCAGTTACAAACTCAGTTACAAATTTAAAAGTAACTAGTTACTTAAGAAAGTAACTATTGCGTTACTTTCAAATAAAATTAAATTTTAAATGCTCAAATGTGACCCCACCCCTACCCCTATTTAACGGAACTTAAAACACATGTGCTTGTTCAATTATTGATGAAAAATCTGAATTTTATAATAAAATAGACACTTAATACAATACATTATTAACAGAAACATGAAACATTGTACACACATTTTAAAAAAAATGTTGCTGTGGGACAAAGTGAGACTAGCCTCCAATCAAATGCCATGTATGTAGATATTATGTTTATATAGTGGATCAATGCAAATAACACAATATTTTGATATTTATTGCCCCTCAACAGGCCACATACTGGGCAAAATTAAATTAAGTTTGTTAAGCTGTTGAGTTATATGTTCTCATTAACTATATTATTTTATGTTTCTTACTGTTATTTTGTTTTTACTTTATGCTATTGACTGTTACTAAAAATGTGCAAGAGTTCACTGTGCGCATGTGTGAACAAATGGGGACTTTTATTTTGACTCAACTTGTGTTCCTTCCTTGAGATGAATGTCGTGCTGCTGCTCCTCGCTCACTGCATTGAGATGAACACTAACAAATAAATAACACTGACAAATTGTATCTGGATTGTTCTTTAGAGGATGGATGATCGCAATGGACATGAGCAATACCATTTAGAGAAGGCTACTTTTGGATTATTTGGCATACCTGTCTCTCGTTGACTGACTGGCTTGTGTTATTCCTTGTGTCCGTTATTCCTGTCCGACTATGCGTTATGATGGGTCGTTCGCAATTCATGAGCGTTAGCCGATAGTGATGATGGGTCGTTTGCGGAGGAGCGTAAGTGATGATGGATCGACTCGTTCGCGAATGAGCTTTTGATGGGTCGTTCGCGATTCGCCAATGAGCCGACTCTTTTATTTGAACGTCGGCAGCTGGCTCGCATATCTGATGAGCCGACTCAATTTTTTTTTACAAATTTAGCCTATAGAAATTAAATAATTATGTCATAAAAATTTTAATATTATAGTCAAAGTCATTTAAAGAGCCGTTTGTGAGTCAAAAGAGCCGAATGCTCATCACTACTATGCGTGCTTTTGAACACCCGCCCAACTCTACCTCTGATTGGCTTACAATGACGGTTTACTCTTTCTCAGCCAATCGTCCGCGTCTATGCGCTTGTCTCGTGCTCAATGGAAAAACAGTAAAAAAGTCGCTCTCGCTCGGAGATCTAGTTGGTCTGATGAAAAACAAACAGCTTCATCAGTTGTTATAGTAACGGGACGCATTTTTAGCAGTAATGGTAACGCCATTGTTAAGATGAGAAGAGTAACCAATTAGATTACTCGTTACTGGAAAAAGTAATGCCGCTAGTAACAGCGTTATTTTATAACGCCGTTATTCCCATCACTGGACCCGCTCCTGTAATACCCCTGTCCTTCAGTGTCACAGAAAAAACTGGACTGTGCTTTTGTGTGTTGAAGTTCTTGGCCAGATTACACTGGACTTACAGACCCTGGTGTGTGTGTGTGTGTGTTCAGGGCCTGTGTCGCATCACCGAGGAGTTCCTGCCGAGGAGTTCGCAGATAAAGGCCGTTCTCGTCACCGGAGCCGAAGCCGCAGTCCTGCTCGCCCGCCGAGAGAGACCAAAGCTGAGACCAGCGACCCGCGCAGAGCAGGTCACACTCATACACACACACATACATGCACTCACACACTCACACACGCACACACTCATACACACACATATACATGCACTCACTCACTCACACACACACTCACACACGCACACACTCATACACACATATATATGCACTCACTCACTCACACACACTCAGACACACACTCACACATGCACACACTCATACACACACATATATACATGCACTCACTCACACTCAGACACACACACTCACTCACTCACTCACATACACACACTCTCTCAGACACACACACTCACTCACTCACTCACATACACACACTCTCTCAGACACACACACATACACACACACACTCACTCACACACACACACACACACACACATTCACTCTCTCTCACATACACACTCACTCATTCACAAACACTCACTCTCTCTCACACACACACACACACACACATTCACACTCTCTCACATACACACTCACTCATTCACAAACACTCACTCTCTCTCTCACACACACACACACACACACAGTTGCACTTCATAAATCAAACACTGAGATGTTCTATGGAAGCTTGTTTCCACTCGAGAATAAAATATTATTGGTAATTGTGACTTCAACAAAATCCTGACTTTATTTTCCACAATTCAAGTTTATATAATATATAGAATAATTAAAATAGTTTATATAATTCTGACTCTTTTCACTTTAATCTGACTTTACTTCAGAAGTGTGAGATAAAAAGTCACATTTACCTTTTTTATGTTTATTCTGTGATGGCAACGGCTTCCATGGTCACCAGCTCGTGTGTGTGTGTGTGTGTGTTCACGAGAGGGATTCTCCAGGCTGTGGTTCACCGAACACTGCTTTACAGGAGCACTCATGTTTCAGTGATTCTGATCAGGAATCCTGCATTAAAACAGCCAATAAATGCTGTAAACTTATATAAATATATATTTATTTCTTATATTTGCAGTGCGAGAGGGAAAGATGGAGGATAAAGATCTCCTGTCTGATCTGCAGGACATCAGTGACAGCGAGAGGAAGACCATCACACCAGAGTCATCATCACTGGGTACATCTCGCTCGCTCTCTCTCTCTCTGAGTTGAGTTAGATGTGTGTTGATCGTGTGTGTGTGTTTCGTCAGGTTCTGGCTCTGAGGAAGAGGAGGGTGAGGAGAATGAGGAGGAAGAGTCCAGCAGCCAGAGTGAGGGAGAAGAAGAGGGCGAGTCAGGATCAGAGTCTGAGGGGCCGGAACACAGCGGAGGTTCATAAACACACACACACACACACACACACACATCTGTTGAGCGCATGTCCGCTTGTTTATATGTGCTTTATCTTCATCATCGGGACATTAAACGATGCACATGATTTGTAAAAGTGTAATTTCTGAGATGTGTTTCCCAGGTGTCCTGAGCGACGAAGAGCCGTCAGAGGAGGAAGAGGAGGAGGACCGAGAGAACGGGAACCACATTCCTCCCAGTGAGCATTGCTTTTATCTCTGACACTGCTCAGGGTTCGTGGAAACTCTGGAAAAGTTTTTGGGACAAACAAACTCTGAATTTTTTTTTTTATTAGTCCTGGACTAATTTTAGTAAAGATATTCTGTGGTAAATTTAAACATTTACTTTTATTCTTAAAGGTGCAGTGTGTAATATTTAGGAGGATCTGTGGACAGAAACGCAGCATCATATACATAACTGTGTGTTCAGTGGCGTATAAACACCTTACATAATGAAGCGTTGTGTGTTTATCAGCTCTCTACACACACCGCGGGTCCGCTTACACCCACATGTTTCTACGGTGGCCCTGAAACACGCGTTTCGTCACTATGTTGTTCTTCATGATCAGAAGCTGCTAGAGTCAGCGAATAAAACACTAAACAATGATGAACAAGTGACTACAATATTCACAATAACATAATTTTACTGAATAATTAAGTATATTTATCTTCATAAAGAAACATCATTGCCGAACTGGCGACTCCCTGTTGGGTGCAGTTCACAACCTCGCCACTAGATGCTGTTAAACGTACACACTGCACCTTTAGCCTGTGAGGTCATGGGTATATAAGTCTTGTGAGTTCATTGGTGTAAACGTGAGTGTGTTGTTTTGCCAGTTCCCGAGTCTCGGTTTGATCACGACTCTGAGGTGAGCGTTGAGGAAGAGGAGGCCGAGGAAGAAGAGGAAGAGCCGGTCGACGTCACGCCTCAGTCTCCGTCTCACTCGGCCACTCCTGAGGAGAACTACATCCCCGAGTCTCCTCCCATCTCTCCTGTGGAGCTGAAGAAGCAGCTGCCCAAATACCTGCCCGCTTTACAGGTACACACACACGCGCACACACTCTCTCTCACACACACACACACACACACTCACTCTGCTGTTTGTGCTCAGGGCTGTCGGAGCGTGGAGGAGTTCCAGTGCTTGAACCGCATCGAGGAGGGCACGTATGGAGTGGTGTATCGGGCCAAAGACAAAAAGACGGACGAGATCGTGGCCCTGAAGCGTCTGAAGATGGAGAAGGAGAAGGAGGGCTTCCCCATCACCTCTCTGCGGGAGATCAACACCATCCTGAAGGCCCAGCACCCCAACATCGTCACCGTCAGGGTCAGACAACACACATGCTTTTCACTACTGTTTATTCATTTTCAATAGTGCTGGAACAAATCACAAAATTCACGGTTCGGATCATTTGTGTTTTGAGCCGTGAATTGGATAATTTTTCAGATCAGCAAAAAAAAATAAAAAATAATTATACAGTATATATATATATACATGTATAGAGTGCAGAAGTGATGACATCACTTTATAGGACAACTCGGAAGCTAGTGTCGCATACGTTCCCTTGATCAAAAAGCTCTGCATTTTCCTCATAGACTTGGAAAATTGCAAAAAAAATAACATCTGTGTTCAACGAAGAGTTGTGACCCTTCCATGTTTTGTCTATCAAGATAATCTTTACAAGTTAATCCAAAATGTATACATTTTGAAGCCTATATATAAAGTTTAAAAACCCATAAGCAGGTTATAACTGTGTGCTCTGTCATAGATTAAAATGTGAACATATTTAGAGGCTTTGTTCACCACAGACCTTATTTCAGGCGATTTAGCAAAAACCCATTCAAAAATCCCATAGGCTTTAGAGCGTTAAAAGAAGTTAAAGGCACACTATGCACTCTCTGGTTTTTTTGTAAAACAGTGACCTCTAGAGCCGCTGTGGTGTACTTGCACTGTCGTAAATAACCGTTACTGCATATCTACTGAACTACTGTCAAGTGCTAGACTGCTTTTTAATAATAAAGTTGCCTATCGCGTTTGCTGGCTTATAGCGTTTTTACATGATTTCTGCAAAACCAGAAGTAAATAGCCTATAGTGTATAGGCTACTGTATAATTTCATTCATGTTTTTTGATTGTAATGTTAAAATTACAAAATGTCAGATGACATCAATCAAGTTAAATGTACGTCGCATTATTTCATAACATTGGACGTTATGATTTAGACATGATTACAATTTATCATAATAGCAAATTGTGTTCAATTATTTACAACCTCTAGGCTTATATATGTCCTAATAATTATGTGAGATATTGACTATGTCCTCATGGTAATCGCAAGAATCAACATCAACAGCGTCAAGATTTGATTGATTCATAATCAACACAATTTGAAGTTACAGTCGGGAAGTGTACTGTTAGTCAGATAAACTTGATATAACAGTAACTTACACACGTCATAAGAAATCCGAACCAGACACAGGACTAAAGATACGTGATAAATACACATCACAACACCTGAGTTCAGCTGGCAAACTAGCTCTTATGGCAAGCTCGGCAATAAAACATAACGGAAAAAACAACAAGACTAAGAGAAACGACTGTTTTTAGGAAGTCTGCTTAAAGCTCTGGTAATCGAAAGCTGACATGTGAGAATTATTGAACTGGTCTTATTATCAACAACGGATGAATGAACAGCACCGTAAAAAAATACATACCACAAGCCAGTGCAGCAACATACAATATAGAAACAACTAGTATACAAATACAAACAAGTTTATAAATAAGAGATTTACTTACAAGTCCATCAACAAGATCGCCAGGTCAGCATCGCAGTTACAATCCAGTGCAGCTTTTAAGCTCGCGCCAACGAGTGAAAGCCCGACCGAGTGGACTCTTGTCCGGTTTCTAGCACGGTCCGATTCTCTTTCCCTGTTTCGAAAGTAGCTTCATACAGTATGATGTTGTTGATGCGTGTGACGTCGTTGCCGTAAACCATTTCGTGATTCTCACGCGCTGTGTCAGGGGCGCCACTCTCAAACTTGCATGGCTGGTTTTTCCGGCGGCGTCCCCCCCAAGCTTTCCCACCAGGATGATTCGCCCTACTATGACTTTGTTAACCACCAAAACGACTTTGAAGCTGTTATATTAAGGTACAGATCTTGCATAGAGTGCCTTTAAAAACAAGTGAACCGTCCGTAATAAAATAAGGACAAATGCACAAATACTCCAGCAGAGATGAACAGTTACAAACTCTAACAGTATTCAGGTACAGAATTTAATAATTAAGCCTACATGTAAAATAACACTTTGCTCACTGTAGAAATTAAATATAGTTTCATCTTTAAAGCTGTATTTTGTTGTTTTATTAATATTAATGACACAGACGACTGCAGGAATATTAGGCTTCCGGCACTTTAAGACAGAATTAACTGAACAAATAAACTATATTTTGTTTCTCTTTTGTTCATATGGCCGAGACGAGTATCTTGACATACGTTTGTGCGCATGTGTCCGTTCAAGGGCAATGAAGCGAGAAAGAGAAAAGGAAGTATGCAACAATAATTATCATTATTATTATGGCTCACCACTCCAATAAATCAATCTGAAAAAGAAAATGAAAGATTGTTCAAACAATATGCCTTCCATATTTACACTCGAGTAAACCTTATTACGCCTCATTAAACACACTCTAGTAAGAATAGCGGATATATGGAGATCCATAAATGTATCAAGACTGGATCCCCTCGTGTCAAATATGATATCTCTGATATAACATTATTAAATGTTTTAAAATGTATATTGCTCACTGCCAGTTTTAGATACATTAGTTCATTTTAACAAATGAGACCTTAAATATTCATACCAGCTATTAATCCTGTTTTTGTAGAGTACTATTAATAAAATGTGTTGTCAGTAGGGATTGCGCATTATAGTTTATGGATGCTGATATTAATACGCGGGGTTGTCATGGTGACTATGTACGGCTGCGTGTGTCTGAATCGTGTGTGTGCTTCTCTTGCAGGAGATCGTCGTCGGCAGTAATATGGATAAAATCTACATTGTGATGAATTATGTTGAGCATGACCTGAAGAGTCTGATGGAGACCATGAAACAGCCCTTCCTGCCTGGTATGACCTATGACCTCAACCTCAAACCGAATGTGCGTCACTGTTCACTGTGTGTTACTGAGACGGGAAGATGGACCGGTTACACTACAGCTGATCGCCGTCAGATTATATTCGTGTTTCCCATTCATTGGTTCACAATATCCACACATCTATCAGAGGTCGGCTTTGACGTCCACATAGACATGAGCACTGCACGTGTCACAGTCAAACACGCGCGGTGTTTTTATATGAGTGTATCTGAAGTGATTCTGTTATTTTAAGTGACTCTTCCCTGATAAAGCAGCGTTGGTGTCTGCCCGCCGCTCCTACAGCGCCCCCTGCTGGAGCCACTAATAAACACTGCACACCTTTCTCCACAATATTCACTCATGGCCATTCTACTGCAGTATTTCCTCTCTCAGCCAGTAGAAACTGTGGTTAACACACAGTCATATATTGTGAAACTGGTGTAATTTTCTTTTTTTTAATCTACCGTGATGTAAATGTCCGGTGACTAGCCTCAGTGATTGACGATGCGAGCTTGACCTGTGCTGTGTGTGTCCGTGCAGGCGAGGTGAAGACCCTGATGATCCAGCTGCTCCGGGGCGTCCGGCACCTGCACGATAACTGGATCCTGCACCGCGACCTGAAGACCTCCAACCTGCTGCTCAGCCACAAGGGCATCCTGAAGGTCACACGCCTCTCACGCAAACTGTTTTTATCCATTGCTTTATTCAGATTAATGATTCCTGGATTCCTGAGCTGGATCCATCTGTGACCAGAAATACTGATTTTTGATATGTTTGATTGAATCATCTGATATTGATTCCTAAATCCCCAGTTGTGTTTTAGTCAGCGCCGCTTTCATTCGACACGAGAATTAAACTTCACCAAACACCATTCATAGCTCCTGCCATCCAATAATCACCATAACCTTTCACACTTTTGATATGAAACAAAGTCTGTGTGTGTATGTGTTTGTGTGTCTTTAATGTGTGCTGATACACAGATCGCTGTTGAACCATTCAAACGCTTCAGTAATATTTTTTGTGTTTTTAAATAAGTCTCTTCTGTTTATTTGACTTGAAATACAAAACAGTAATATTGTCAAATATTATTATAACATAAATAAGTGACTAAAAATCAATATTTTGAAATATTATTATAACATAAATAAGTGACTAAAATCAATATTTTGAAATATTATTATAACATAAATAAGTGACTAAAAATCAATATTTTGAAATATTATTATAACATAAATAAGTGACTAAAAATCAATATTTTGAAATATTATTATAACATAAATAAGTGACTAAAAATCAATATTTTGAAATATTATTATAACATAAATAAGTGACTAAAAATCAATATTTTGAAATATTATTATAACATAAATAAGTGACTAAAATCAATATTTTGAAATATTATTATAACATAAATAAGTGACTAAAAATCAATATTTTGAAATATTATTATAACATAAATAAGTGACTAAAATCAATATTTTGAAATGTTATTATAATATAAATAAGTGAGTAAAAATCAATATTTTGAAATATTATTATAACATAAATAAGTGACTAAAAATCAATATTTTGAAATATTATTATAAGATAAATAAGTGACTAAAAATCAATATTTTGAAATATTATTATAACATAAATAAGTGACTAAAATCAATATTTTGAAATATTATTATAACATAAATAAGTGACTAAAAATCAATATTTTGAAATATTATTATAACATAAATAAGTGACTAAAAATCAATATTTTGAAATATTATTATAACATAAATAAGTGACTAAAATCAATATTTTGAAATATTATTATAACATAAATAAGTGACTAAAAATCAATATTTTGAAATATTATTATAACATAAATAAGTGACTAAAAATCAATATTTTGAAATATTATTATAACATAAATAAGTGACTAAAATCAATATTTTGAAATATTATTATAACATAAATAAGTGACTAAAAATCAATATTTTGAAATATTATTATAACATAAATAAGTGACTAAAATCAATATTTTGAAATATTATTATAACATAAATAAGTGACTAAAATCAATATTTTGAAATATTATTATAACATAAATAAGTGACTAAAATCAATATTTTGAAATATTATTATAACATAAATAAGTGACTAAAAATCAATATTTTGAAATATTATTATAACATAAATAAGTGACTAAAATCAATATTTTGAAATGTTATTATAATATAAATAAGTGAGTAAAAATCAATATTTTGAAATATTATTATAACATAAATAAGTGACTAAAAATCAATATTTTGAAATATTATTATAAGATAAATAAGTGACTAAAAATCAATATTTTGAAATATTATTATAACATAAATAAGTGACTAAAATCAATATTTTGAAATATTATTATAACATAAATAAGTGACTAAAAATCAATATTTTGAAATATTATTATAACATAAATAAGTGACTAAAAATCAATATTTTGAAATATTATTATAACATAAATAAGTGACTAAAATCAATATTTTGAAATATTATTATAACATAAATAAGTGACTAAAAATCAATATTTTGAAATATTATTATAACATAAATAAGTGACTAAAAATCAATATTTTGAAATATTATTATAACATAAATAAGTGACTAAAATCAATATTTTGAAATATTATTATAACATAAATAAGTGACTAAAAATCAATATTTTGAAATATTATTATAACATAAATAAGTGACTAAAATCAATATTTTGAAATATTATTATAACATAAATAAGTGACTAAAATCAATATTTTGAAATATTATTATAACATAAATAAGTGACTAAAAATCAATATTTTGAAATATTATTATAACATAAATAAGTGACTAAAAATCAATATTTTGAAATATTATAACATATATCATCTGTTTTCTA